ACCCCAAAAAAAAAAAAAAAAAAAAAAAAGCGAGACTCCAGGACTGCTACAGATAAGTAAACAGGTCTTGCTAAATCCATGGCTCTCAGACTGTTGATAATTTATACAACATTCCTCTCGGACATACATTCCTCTCTACAGGCAGCATGGAAATCTGACCTACTACTCATATTTGGGATAATAGTACAGTTTCTTTCTCCCATCAAACAAGCAGCTCAATGGTCACTAACTCTTTTCTCACTGTCTTCTGACAGGTTTTTCTTTCTTCAGTGCAGCTTGTGAACCACAGTACTCCAAGGCATTGGAAAGCACATAATCCCCAATAGGAAGAGTCTACAGCCAAGAAGAAGCTATAGAAAACAGAGACCTCCGCTCCCTCAGCATCCCATTAAAGAATTACAGAGATTTGTGTTTCTCAGGGGGAAATAAGGCAGGAAGACAGAGTGTGGCTTAGGCTGGCTGGGAAGGGAGGCATGATTAGATCCCAGGACACAAACCAAGTAATTCCCAAGGCTCCATATCTGGACTTCTCATGGGTTCCTGAAATGTATGGAATGGACAGAACGGACACATGCCACACAGCACCTGTTCCATGGCTTTCCTTGTGGAATCCCACTCTGTGTCTCCCAGGGTATACTGTGGACCCTGACTTACGAACTCAATTCATTCTCAAGGGCCAGTTGTAACTCAAGTGGGCCAATGGAGGGCTCAGGCTCCTCTGCAGAGCCTTCAAAGTCTCTCTCCTGTGTACAGGCAGGTCTCAGTGTTCTTAGAGAGATATTGGTCCAGGATTTCTCAATTAACCCCACACAAGAGAGGATGTTGCAATATTCCTTTCAGAACTCTTTAGGGGTTAAATTTGTATCTGAGACCATCTGGAAGCACAAGCAAGCAGCATTCAGGTCATAACTCAAGACTTTGGTTGTAAGTCAAAACAAAAATTCTAGTCGGAACTCAAGTTGGTTCATATGTCAGGCCAGTTGTAACTCAAGGATCCACTGTACTTTTATTTTGGCCTTTGTCTTTACTTTTCCTCTCTTTTACTTGGCCCAAGTTCATGCTACAGATCCAGTTTCTCCCTTACCCTTCACTTAATTTTTCAAATTAACTTGGTTACTGTTTTTGCTTGTTTTATTCCATTCTTTGTTCAACACAGAAAGAACCTGGAAACAAAGACACCAGCATCCCAGAACCCAATAAGAGAACCACTACCACCAGCCCCAGCGACTAGGAATCTTTGCTCAGCAGCCAAAAGTTATCAGCATCTAGGCTTTAACTTTGCAAACAAGTGGAATCTAACAAACAGGAAAACAGGCTATCAGTTATTTCAGGGTTCAGGCTGGTGCCAGGAGCCGCAAGATCTAAAGGAAACAATTTACTCAATAGCTGTGAGCTCCCTTCCCCACTGTCCTCAGAAAATGTTAACAAGCAAGTGAGCCAGGTGTGGCAGTGCATGCCTATAAACCCAGTACTCTGGAGGCTGAGGCAGGAGGGTTGCTGTGAGTTTGAGGCCAGCCTTGGATACATAGCAAAATCCAGTCTTTAAAAAAAAAAAAAAAAAGGTGAGTAAATCAGTCATACACCAAGCCAGACACATCTCTTTTGGAAGTAGCTACCAGGGGTGACTGGAGACAAAGCACAGCCATTGGAATCAGGGGATTTGGACTTTGAACTCAGCAATGCCACCCCACAATTGAGTCTCTTCCCGACTCTGAGCCTTGAGATCTTTATTTGTAAGAGGGAATGTGCCGACTGCCTCACAGCAGTGTTGTAAAAGGGAAGTGAGATCACGGGGGGGGGGCGTGGGGGGAGGCTTGATAAACACTAAAGCGCTTGGTAAATTGAAACAGGCTTGCCCAGCATGAAGGTACACACCTGTAATCCCAACTCCTCAGGAGGCTGAGACAGGAAGATTGCAAGAGGCTGGACAATTTAATAAGACGCTGTCTGAAAATAAAACTTTAAAAGGCCTAGGGATAAGGGCTCTACACAAATTTTTGATGTATTTCTCCCATTGGCCAATTGAACTCAACTCCAAAGCTGGGCCCTGAGTTCCCCTCCTGCAGAACCAAGTGGGTGGGGAAGAGTGGCTGAGGGATATCCTCCTCCGCATAACACACACACACACACACACACACACACACACACACACACACCAGTCTGGCTCCACAATCCCCTTGGCTAAATACACCCAAAGACATGCCAACCTCTCTGCTTCTTTTTCTTCTTTCTTTTGTTTCCCCCTTTTGTAGTGGAGATTTAACCCAGGGCCTTCACAGTAGGCTACTATCCCCAGCCCTTTTATATTTTAATTGTGAGACAGGGTCATGCTATCCTCCTGCCTCAGCCTTCCAGAGTGTGGGATTACAGGTATTCACCACCATGCCTGGCTACCTTCAGACATTCTTATGCCACCAGCTTCCCATGTCCTGAGATTACAGGTGAGTGCCACCATGCCCAGCTCAGCGAGCTTTGCTGGTGAATCTGCTTCTGCTTCAGGGAACTTCTGGGCAATACCAGGCCACCTGCAGGCCTCAACCTACACACAGGTGGACACAGCCAGAGCCAGTGCCCAGTTTGCTGCACACAGCCCGGCGCGCGCACGCGCACACACACACACACACACACACACACACACACACGAAGAGACACAAGAGGCTTCTCCCCACTCTCACCTGGCTGCTGAGAACCCAAGGGGCTGGTCAGAGAAGTAGTTGTGCTGGGGCCCAGCATTTGCCCTTTGGGAACTGGCTCCCCTCCCAACACAGAGACTCATCCAATCATGAGCGTCCCCAAGCTCCAGCTCAGCTGCTACCCCTCCTAACCCCAAGCCTGCAGACCCTGGGAGACCTCGACTGCCCTCCTCGTCACGGGTCTGAAATCCAGGGAGTGGAGGCTCTCTGATTCCTCATAAAAGGGCAAGGGTCCCAGTCTCTCACCACAGCCCAATCAGAGAAAAAAAGTCAGTCCTGAAGGCACATTTTGCTGCTAATGCCATGAACAATAAATCCATTACCCAAACCTTCATTGCTCAGGTGGGGAAACAGGAGCTTGCCCAAGATGCTCTCAGTCAGTGTTGGGGCAGGGTGGGGCTGTGGCTCACTGTCCATTTTCTACCAACTGCAGCATACTATTTTATCATCATCTATTCAAGGCACTTTCCTTTTTTTTTTTTTTTTTTTTTTTTTTTGAAACAAACTCTCACTAAATTGTTAAATTATCCAGGCTGGGTTTAAATTTGTGATCCTTCAGTCTCGGCCTCCCAGTGTGCTGGAATTATAGTTGCGTGCCTATATTCAATCTTTCTTTCTTTTCTTTTAACAGGGTCTTGCCATGTAGCCCAGGCTGGACTTGAACTTGTGGTGATCCTCCTGCCGCAGCCTCTTGAGTGCTGGGATTACAGGTGTGCACTACCATGCCTGGCTCAATGCATATTCTTAAACACGTATTACATACCACACTCTGCTAGGAGGAAGGAAAAAGGAACAAACAAAACAAATTCCTCATGCTTGATGCATTTACGGTAACAATTACAGTGTCAGTCTTACTAGTGACACATTAGGTCATGTTTGTACACCATTTTACTATTGACAAAGCACCTCCCACTGGCCTGTTCATTCTGCCCACAAACCCACAGTCAGTCTTTTAATCCCCATTCAGCAAGGGAAGAGAGTAAGACTCCCGAATTGCCCAAGTTCCCAGTTGATAAGCAAGAAATCAAATAAAACCCTGGATGCCTACCCAGGCCGGCAGCCAGTCACCATCAGAGCTGACTTCTCCAGCTCAGTGGTTAATACCTGAAGGTGCTTTCTTTTGCTTCCCTGGCAGTCACCTTCTCACTGACACATACACAGATGTAAGCATCTGGAACACAGCTGGATATTCAGTCCTCCTAAATGAGAGCTGCCTGATGCCTGGGAGAGGGCCAGCTGGTTCCCTCATGGTTCCCGGGTCAGTGAGCCCCTAGCCGGCAGCTCCGGTTCATCAGCCCCACATCCAGCCCCACATCCGGGCAAGGGTAGCAGCCTGGGCTCTGCCCCCAGCACCTGAGACCTGATGGTAAAACTGGTTGTGAGCCTGGTCTTTTGTCCCAATAACCTGGCTGTCTGCATCATTCCCCCGGGAAGCCCACCATGCAGGGAGTTCCTAAATACCCATCCCTGCATCAGGCCCTTTAGCTCTCCTGCCAGGCCTGCCAGAGGTCAGCATTATCCTTATCTGACAGCTCAGGAAACTGCACCGAGAGCAGGGTATAACTTGGCCAAGATCGCATAACTAATAAAGCAGATAGCATTCAGCTCCCTGAGATCTAAGTAGCCCCTTCCCATCACCACCCTCATCTCCCAGGGAGACCTCTGCGGTCCCATTAATCCTCCGTTGGCCTCAGAGAACTGAAGGGGGGTGCCAGGTCCCCTGGCAAAGGTTCTTCACAAGAAGTCCTGAACATGAGACTCTACGCAGGAGAGAGGAGCCGGCCGGAATAGTTCCTTAAAAATAGAATCACCCATTTGCTTAGGTGAAGCGTGGGGCACAACCTCAGCCTCCTGAGCTCATTTTCATAGGCTTTCCTTCGCCCAGCCAGAGCTAGGACCCCTCTTACCTGTAGCAGAGGCAGTAGCTCAGCTATAGGGGCTGTTGTTTCCCTGGCTCCAGCCCTGGCTCCAGCCTCTGTGCTGCTGTCTGCCAATTGCAGAAGTGAAAAAACAGGGCCGATGGCTGCCAAGTCACCTCCGGGAGGAAATACAATGACCCTACGGCCCCTCCAACGGATGCCACAGGAACCTCCGAGTCAAGCCACCCAGGCCCTGGGCACTGAGAAGAAGCTTCTGGAAGAGCAAGGGGCAGGGTGGGTGCAGGCAGTGGCCACGGGAAGAGACAGCAAGAGCGGCTCAAGTGGGCACTCAGGAGAGACCCCCGAGTGGGCTGGAGGAAAAGTGAGTGACTGGCAGGTGCCGAGGGAGGGAGGAGGGCCAGAGGGAGTCAGGGAGAAGAAAGGGCAGAGAGAGAGAGATGGGGAAAGAAAGACAGAGATCTTTCCTGGGAAGAACGAGAAGACACAAGGACAACCACGATCAGGGAGTTAGAAGCAAAAGAGGCACGGACAGCAAATGTGCAGCTGCAAGGACATCTGTGTCGGTCTCTGTGCGAGGAGAGAAAAGAGCGAGGAAAGGGCTGAGGAGAGGAGCGTGGAGCTGCTACTACGGTCAGCGGCATGACTGGGCAGGAGATCCCTAGTGACCAAGAAGTGCTGGGCCCAAGGAACCAGTGGGGACAGAGTGCTTTGGGGCGGGGGAGGAGGAAGCCTCTCAGGATTCTAAACTGGAACTTGGCAGTGAGTTCATGAGAGAGTGAGAGAGTAAAGAAAGGTGTGGGCAGTGGAGGGTGTGAACACCGCTGAGAGAGGGAACAGGGAGGGGGGTGGGTAGGCATTTCCTGGGTACACGAAGTTTCCAGCCCTTACCCACTCGCTCATTCAACCAACCAACAGCCCCGACTGACAGATCTGGGAGCCGGGCCCTGAGATTGACGCGGACTAAGAAAACAAGCCCCCGGCTATCAGCTGATCCATCACTCTCCGACACAGAGAGGGAAACTGAGGTCCTGAAAGGACCAGGGGCCCAGAGCAAGGCGGGTGCAAAGCAGAGCCAGGAGTGGGGGCCTCCTGACCCCCAGACAGTGTCCAGCCTCGGTGTGCCTTGGGTGTCTGGATTAACCCTTTCCTGCTTCCTTTACCAAAGCCCAAAAATGGCTCTTTAAAGGTCAAAGAATCTTTAATACGTGCCTTACACACGGGCAGATACACTCAAAGCACTTATGCACTTGGCCCTTGCACACCAACACCCCCTCAGCACAGCTGCTCACCCCCCACTTCCCAGACACACAACGTTGCTCATTCACCCATGCTCACCACCGCAGGCGGCCCTTCAAGTCCCAAATGCAGCCCGGTCCTCTGCTCAGAGACACCTTCCTTGCCCCCCTTACAGGCCTTTGATACAACATGATACGGTCTTGTTCGCTGCATTTTCTTGTTTTTTGTCATGGAGGTCTCACTGTGTCGCCCCAGCTGGCCTCCAACTCCTGGGCTCAAGTGACCCTTCCCACCTCAGCCTTCCAAGTAGCTGGACAACAGGCGTGCACCACTGTGCCCAGCTAGCTGCTCACTGCAATTGGCCTTCACTCAGACCGTCCCCCTGGAGGGCAAGAGCCCAGCTCTGCTCTGCAAGTAGATCTTCCCAAAACAATCGCACCTCCTCAGCCTCCCTCTGGCCACCACCCCGCCTCCAGGCGGGACATCGAGCCTGAGAGGGGCCTCAGGAATCAAACAGCTTGCACTGGCCAGAGTCTTCAGGACCCCGAACTCAAGATCTAGGCTGGAGGTGCAACTCAGCACTACAGCACTTTTCTAGTATGCGTGTGCTGGGTTTGATCTCTAGCACCGAGGGAGAAAGAGAGAGAGAGAGAGAGAGAGAGAGAGAGAGAGAGAGAGAGAGGGAGAGAGAGAGAGTTTTCCAGTAGTAGCATCCATGGACACACGCAGCACTTCATTTCAGTACCTGTTCCGAGACTGTCGATAAGCAAGGTAGGCAAGTGTGCTCCCATCAGCAGCACATATACAGGGTAGGCAGGAAGGCAATATTATCAACATTGTACAAGTGAGGAAATTGAAGTAAACTGTTTCTCTTACACCTCATTTCCAATCTGTCAGCAAATTTTGTCAGCTCTACTTTATGATGTATTCAACTTTGCATCTAAACAAGCCTTTAGATTTAACCTTCAGTTGGCAGGAAATATAGGGGACAAAAGAATAAACTGAAGGGCTCCATGAGAAAACAATCAGTCAAATCCATTGTCCTGTGAAAACAAACAAACAAAGGAGGGGACTGTTCCCAATTAAAAGGGACTCAAGAGCTACAAAGATCCAGGAATACAACATACGTCTCTTGTTTGGAACCTGGAACACCAAATCAACTGTAAAAAAGACAGATGCGTATCCGCTGGGGTCCTGGACATAGATGGCAACCCGCGAAGGCAACCTAAGGACCACAGTCTTGTAGAGAGAGATGTGGTCAGGGCCACAGACCCAAGGGAACAATGTAGTTTTGAGAGGCTGTCAAGAGTGGAGAGCCCTTGCCTGCAGGAGGAGGCAGGAGCAGCCCCTGGCATCCGGAGAGGGGGGCTATTGGGTGGGGAGGCCCGAGAGCTGGGACCTGCAGTAGTACAGAGCTGCAAGCAATCCTGTTACCTGACAAGGAGGAATCCAGGAAATAAATACCTGAGCCTCTCTTCTTCCATCCTGTGACGTCTTACCAGTGCCTTGGGCAGAGCCCAAGCAGGAACAAGCCCGCGGTTAACAAGGCCCACGAGGTAGGCCTCTAGGGGCAGTGTTGGGTGGGAAAAGGGGAGCATGGGTCTGGAAGGAAAAGCAGATGTCAGACTGACACTCAGGAAAAGCCGGGAAATTGGAATATGGGTGGGACTTTAGGTGATTCTAAGGCTTTATTGTTACCTTGCTTAGGTGATCATTGTTTTATGGTTACATAATAAAATGTCTGTATATGGAAATACTTTTATAAGGATTTGCTGTAAAATATTACAGCAAAATACAAAGAAATTAAGGAGAAAGAAAATAAGAAAGAAAGAGAGAAAAGATAAGATGTAAGGAAGGAGGGAGGGAAAGAAAGATGGGAAGGAAGAAAGAAAAGATGAATGGAGAGAGGAAAAAGGAAGAGGAGAAATAGTGTGGCCAAATACTGCTTTTTGTTGAACCTGGGGAGTAGTACTGTAGCAGGCTGACTGAATGGCCTCAAAGATTATCAGGCTCCAATCCCTAGAACATGTAAATGTTATCTTATATAGCAGCGATTTGCAGATGTGTTTGGTGATCCTGAGTGCAGAAGATGGTCCTAGATTATCCAAGTGGGCCTTGATGTAATCACAAGTATCCAAATGACAGGGAGGGTGAGGGAGATTTGACCACAGACAGGAGAGGAGAAAGCAATGTGGCTACAGAGGAACAGTAAGGCAGCCACAAGGCAGGAAAGCCCGCAGCCACCAGACAGGCTGGGAATAGATCTGCCAGAGCCTCTGAAGGGAGCCGAAGCCAGCACGGCCTCGCTGGACCACCTTCCTTGTGGCCTGGTGGTTTGGGCCTTTGGGCCTCCAGAATCATCTAAAAATTAGTGTGTGTTTTGTTGTGAGTCATCAAGTTCGTGACAATTAAAAAAAAAAAAAGAAGTTCATGACAACTTGTTACGACAGCCAAAGGAAACTAATGCAAGTATACCGGTATTCACTGTACTCTTTTCACGTAGTTGAAAACTTTCCTAATCAAGTTGTATTTGTACATATACAATTTTCAATATTATCTATTTAATAGTGTTGTCAAGGAAACAGAAAAAAAATCCACTTCATTCACCAGTTTAGAGGAAATATAGAGAGGAGCAGATTGCACAGACACACTCAATAAACCTAGACAACAAGGAATGCTACAAACAACCTGGTTTGGGTATTTTTTGGGGGGTGGAAGGTTGGGGGGTTTGTTTGTTTGTTTGTTTAGGACAAGGTCTCACTATATAGTTCAGACTGGCCTTGAACTCGATGGAGGATCTTCCTGCCTCAGCCTCCTGAGTACTGGGAAGATAGATAGGTGTGAACCACCATGCCTGGTTTGGTTTTTGTTTTTTTGGTGGTTTAGTGGGGGGGGTGTTTTGTTTTGTTTTTTGGTACCAGGGATCGAACTCGGGATCTTGTTCTCTGGAGACAGGAGGTGGAACCACTGAGCTAAATGCCCAGACCTGTTTGTTTTATTATATGTAAATTCTAAAGGACAAAAGATGATGAAGAGCTAGGCATGGTGGCACAGGCCTAGGAGGCTGAGGCAGGAGGATCACAAATTCAAGCCCAGCTGGAGCAACTTCACAATTTACACAGACCCTGCTTGAAAATAAGAAATAATAAAAAGCCTGGGGATACAGTTCCATGTAAAGGCTCCTGGGTTCAATCCTTAGCACTGAAAAAAAAAATGAAGAAACTGTAGATTAAATGAGAATTACGTGACATAGCAACTGCTCTTCATATATGAGTCATTTTTGGATCTTAATTCAAACAAAAAATAATGTGAATATGGATATTCAATTCTATTGAAGAATTAATGTTAACTATTAGGCATGTTTATGATAACGATTTCACAGTTATGTTAAAAATTCTTACAGAAATAACAAAATTTACAGACAAAATTACGTATGTGCGATTTACTTCAAAATAATATGGAAGCAGAGCCAGGAATTTAGCTCAGTGGCACTGTGCCTGCCTAACAAGTGCAAGGTCCTGAGTTGTATTCCTGATACAAAAATAACGAAACAAACAAACAAAAAACTACGAATGATCCTGAAACAGTAATAAGACAAAAATAAAACTAGTAATAATACTAAGACCTTATTTGTCTTTTACTCTTTCGTCCTCTCACAAGCGTGCAGCGCCGGTTTCTACGTGACAGGTGAAGACTGTTTCTGGCTCACAGAACACGCACCTGTGTGTGTGGTTTTCACTTTGAGCACAGTAAATACCCTCAGATGTAATCCATGTCATCATTCGATCTTTGAGGCCCGAGTCCCTGGAACAAAGTCTGAGGACTGCTCACCGCTCCAACCCATCCCCATGCTCTCTGTCCCCAGAAGGAAGGTTCAGTTCCAAAGATCAGCAGCGGAGGGCGGGTGAGGCTGGGGGTCCCAGATCCAGAGGTAGGGTAAGCCCGTTAGACAGACTCACTGAGCAGTACAGGCCTGTGTTGGGTCCGGGGAGCTCTCTCCCTAACCTCCTGCCACCCTTCAAAGCAGAGCTGAGTACTAGGTGGGAATTGCCACTGCCAGCCTCTGATTTCCTAGGCCTGGGTGACAGCTGCCTCCCACCATCACGCCAGACTCCCTGCAGTGCCTCACCACACACAGTGGTAGACAATGTCTTTTTTTTTTCTCCTGTACCGGGGTTTGAACTTTGGACCTTACAAGTCAGGGAATAACACCACTGAGCTAAATCCCCAATGACAATGACATTTTTAAGAAGACGATTTATAATAGCAAGAAAACTAAGTCAGGTGTCGTGGCACATGCCTGTAATCCCAGCACTCGGGAGGCTGAGGCAGGAGGATTGCTGTGAGTTTGAGACCAGCCTGGGCTACATAGTGAGTTCCAG